GTGACACCACAGCAGTGACAGAATCAAATTCATCCCCTTTGCAACACCTCGGCAGTGACAGCCCCGGTTTCCCCTCTCTGTGACATCGCAGCAGTGACAGACTCAGGTTTCCTCTATCTGTGACATCACAGCAATGGCAGCATTAATTTCAGCCCCGATGTAACACCACAGCGGTGACAGATCCATTATTCTCCTCTCTGTGACATCAGAGCAGTGACAGGCCCAATCTACACCTCTCTGTGACACCAGAGCAGCGGCAGCCTCAGTATTCCCCTCTCTGTGACATCACACCAATGAGGGACCCAGTTCAAGGTCTCTGTGACAGTACTGCAGTGACAACTCTAATTTACGTCTCTCTGTGACACCACAGTGGTGACAGACGCATTATTCCCCTCTCTGTGACATCACAGTCATGACAGAACCAATTCAAGACTCTGTGATACAACAGCCCTAACAACCCCAATTCCATTCCCTTTGTGGCAATAGACAAGTCTTAGCACCTGTGTTACTTTCTCTATGACTGCACAATAGTGATCACTCCAGTTTTCCCCTCTCTGTGACATCAAAGCCATGACAGGTCCAATTTAGGCCTCTATGTGACACCAGTGCAGTGGCAGTCTCAAGTTTTCCCCTCTCTATGACATCACAGCAGTGACAGACTCAGGTTTCCTCTATCAGTGACATCACAGACATGGCAGCCTTCATTTCAGCCCCGATGTAACACCACAGCGGTGACAGACGCATTATTCCTCTCTCTGTGACATCACAGAAGAGACAGAACCTATTTAAGACTCTCTGTGATACCACAGCCCTTACAACCCACATTCCATTCCCTTTGTGGCAACAGACAAGTCATAACACCTGTGATACTTTCTCTGAGACTCCACAGCCGTGATAGCCCCAGTTTTCCCCTCTCTGTGACATCACAGCAGTGGGAAGCCCAATTTACGCCTGCCTGTGACAGCACAGCAGTGAAACACGCACTTTCCACCCATGATGACATCACAGCACTGACAGGCCAAATTTCACCCTTTCTGTCACACCACAGATGGAACAAGCCAAATTTACACCTATCTGTAATACTACAGCAGTGACAGTGCCAGTTTTCTCCTCTCCGTGACATAACATCAAAGACAAGTCTGAATTCATCCCCTCTGATAGGCCACAGCAGTGACAGCCTCAGTTTTCTTCTCTCTCTGAGATCACTGCAGTGACAAGTCCAATTGATGCCTCTCTGTGACACCACAGTGGTGACAGATGCATTATTCCCCTGTGACATCACAGTCATGACAGTACCAATTTAAGACTCTCTGTGATATCACAGCTCTAAAAACCCCAATTCCATTCCCTGTGTGGCAACAGACAAGTCATAGCACCTGTGTAACGTTCTCTGTGACACCACAGCAGTGACAGACTCAGGTTTCCTCTCTCTGTGACATCACAGCCATGGCAGCCTTAATTTCGGCCTTCATGTAACACCACAGCAGTGACAGCCCCAGTTTTCCCCTCTCTGCGACATCACAGCCATGACAGGCCCAATTTATGCCTCTCTGTGACACCAGTGTAGTGGCAGCCTCAGGTTTTCCCCTCTCTCTGACATCACACCAATGAGGCACCCAGTTCCTGCTCTCCATGACATCACTGCAGTGACAACTCTAATTTACGCTTCTCGGTGACACCACAGCACTCACAGATCTATTATGCCTCTCTGTGACATCACATCAGAGACAGGCCCAATTTTCGCCTCCCTGTGACATCACAGCAGTGACAACTCTAATTTACACGTCTCTGTGACGCCACAGTAGTGGCTGCCTCAGTTTTCCCCTCTCTGTGATATCACAGTCATGATAGCTTCAAATTCTTTCCTTTTGTAACACCGCAGCAGTGACAGCCCCAGTTTTCCCCTCTCTGTGATATCACAGCAGTGACAGGCCCAATCTACACCTCTCTTTGACAGAAGTGCTGTGGCAGTCTCAATTTTTTCCTCTCTGTGACATCACTGCAGTGGCAAATCTAATTTACACCTCTCGGTGACACCACAGCAATCACAGATCAATTATGCTTCTCTCTGTGACATCACATCAGAGACAGGCCCAATTTACAGATGGGCCCATGTAAGCCCAGATGTGCCAAGGGGGTCTGAGGTGTGCCCAGGAGTTCCCAGGTATGCCCAGGTGTGCTTGGGTGCTCTCAGGTGAACCCATGTGGGCCCATATGCACTGAGATTTGGCCAGGGGTTCCAAGGTGGTCCCAGGTGTGCCCTGGAGTACCCAGGTGTGCATGGGTATCTCCAGGTGTACCTGGGAGTGCCCAGTGGAGCCCAGCTATGCCCAGCTGTGCTCAGGGGTACCGTGGTGGTCCCAGGTGTGCCCAGGACTTCCCAGGTGTGCCCAGGTGTGCTTGGGTATGTCCAGGTGTGCCCATGTACGCCTAGGTGTGCTTAGGTGTGCCCAGGTTGGCCCAGGTGTGCCCATGTTGGCCCAGATGTGCCCATGTTGGTCCACATGTGCCCAGGCAAGTTTAGGAGTCCTTCGGAGTTCCCATGTGTGCCCAGGTGTGCCGGGAGGTACCCAGGTGTGCTTAGGAGTTCCAAGGTGGGCCCAGGTGTGCCCAGATGTGCCCAGATATGCCCAGGTGTACCACAGTGGTCCAAAGTGTGCCCAGGACTTCCCAGATATGCCCAGGTGTGCTTGGGTGTGCCCAGGTGAGCCGACGTAGGCCCAGATGTTGTGAGATTTGGCCAGGGGTGCCAAGGTGGTCCCAGGTGTGCCCAGGAGAGCCCAGGTGTGCATGGGTATGTCCAGGCGTACCTGCAATTGCCCAGTGGAGCCCAGCTGTGCTCAGGGGTACCGTGGTGGTCCCAGGTGTGCCCAGGAGTTCCCAGGTGTGCTTACGCCTGCCCAGGTGTGCCCATGTATGCCCAGGTGTGCCCATGTTGGCCCAGATGTGTCCAGGTGTGCCAAGGGGGTCTGAGGTGTGCCCATGTGTGTTTGCAGGTATGCCCAGGTGTGCCTCAGTCTGCCCAGGTGAGCCCATGTGGGCCCAGATGTGCTGAGATTTGGCCAGGTGTGCCAAGATGGTCTGAGGTGTGCCCAGGAGTGCCCAGGTGTGCATGGGTATGTCCAGGCATACCTGGGAGTGCCCAGTGGAGCCCAGCTGTGCCCAGCTGTACCACGGTGGTCCCAGGTGTGCCCAGGTGTGCTCTGGTGTGTCCAGAGGTGCCCAGGAGAGCCCAGGAGTGCGCAGCTGTGGCCAGGTGTGCTGGGGTCTTCCCAGGTGCACCTGATAGTGTTCAGGTGACCCCTGGTATTTTCAGATGTGCCCAGGAGAGCCCAGGTATGGCCAGATGGGCTCAGGTGTGCTCAGCTGTGCCTTGGTGTGCACAGGTATGCAGAGGAAGGCCCAGATAGACCCACATGTTCCAAGGTGTGCTCTAATGGTCCCTAATGCACTCAGGTTGGCCCATGTGTGCCCAGAAGTGCCCAGATGTGTTCGTGTGTGCCCAGAGGTGCCCAGGAGAGTACAGGAGTGCCCAGGAATGCCCAGGAGTGCTTGAGTGTGTCCCAGTGAGCCTAACCCTAACCCCCTAAACCTAACCCCTAACCCCCAACCCTAAAATATGGTCGCACCCATATATTCCCGGTTAGAAATGGCAGCACTCATGTATTTCTGGTTAAAAATGGCAGCACCCATGTATTTCCATGTATAGAGAGCGCCGTGCTTTTTTGTGGTTTTGAAACGCGGCACCGTGCGGAGGCAACAAAACGCACAGAAATACCGCGTGACAACACAGCATTTCTGCGCGTTTAGTCGCCTCCACATGGTGCGGCATTCAGGGGTGGTTGCGTGCTTTGTTTACTGGACCCAATGGCGTTGGGCATGCACGGATGAGATGTGAGGGGGGTTACCATGGCTGCCGTGACATGTTTCCGGTCAATATGGCAGCGCCCGTGCCTAGGGTTTTTGCCAGTGGCGGCATGGCACTTGCATGATCGGCTGCATTTTTTATTCATTGTGCATTTGCAGGACGAGTTTTTTCACGTGGCATGGTCCGGGGATATGTGGGTTCTTGTGTTAATAAACATTTTGGGTTTTTTTATTCGTGTATATTTTATTAAAAATTTCAGTAATGTGATTTCTGTAAACAAGGCAGCCGTGTGACATCATCAGTGGGAGTGTTTAGAGAGTAAGTGGTGTATTAGGTGGTGGTAGGGTGGTTCTATATAGGGGTTGGTATGTCAGTATGGTGTAGTGCAGGTGTGCATGGGTATACAGAGTTCTTCTATGGTACAAAATTCAATAATAATAATTTTATATATATATAATTATTGAATGTCCAGTGCAGCAGTAGGAGGTTTCAGGCTCCTGGGGAGTAAATGGTATTGATTTATAAACTCAAACTTGAACTCCATTTCTTTTTTCTGTAACTCAAACTATAACTCTTTCTTTTCACTCAGAGAGAGTGAAAAGTAATAGAGTTTATTTCTTTCTCCCTCTGTTTCTTTTCTGTAACTCAGAGGGAAAGGAAATAAACTCTAAGTTCTCAGGGTTAGAGGGAAAGGCAACAGAGTTAGAAGGAAAAGAAAGAGAGGGACAGTGGAACAAAATAAACTCTTATTTCTGTTTCGTTTCCCTCTGAGTGAGAGAGAAAAGAGTGGGAGTGAAACAAAATAGAGGGACAATGGAAAGAAATCAACTCCATTTGCTTTCTGTCAACTCAGAGGTTGAGGGAAAGGAAGTAGACTTAGACTGGAAAAAAAATAGTGAATTTCTTTTCATTCCAGCTCTATTTCTCTTCTCTCTAACTCAGACAGAAAAGAGAGTTAGAGCTGGAGAGAAGAGAAACAGAAAAATGTGATGAGCAACAGTGACACAGACCTACAGAATGTGACAGACATAAATAAAGTTAGAAAGAGATTGAAAAGCAAAGTGAGAAGAACAGCAAGAAATAGAATGAAAATAATGACTCAACCACAACAAAAACAAAAGAGCCAGGGTCGATCATCTTTATTAGGGTTTATTCACCTTTATTGAATAAATTTATTTACACTACAGCAAAACACATATAGACTGGATAGCAATGCAAATGCTATACAATATAATACAATTCATGTACACACTGAAAAACCCCTAATTCACATACAGGCTAATACAGAGAAACAAGGCAGCAAATGCAAATACAGAACAGTACATGCCAAATACATATCAACCTAATATAACCATTTCTGTATTTCTGAAAAGTTCAATACATGCTGTTTTATTATTACTGCTATCCCAAACCAGAAGGAGCACACAGAAAACCCAATAGTCATTTGCCACAGAAGCCGGCTTCAGCTTGCACACCGACTCACCTTCACTCTCCTCTCAACCACTCCGTTATAACCCTGCTGTCAGCAGTCATCAGGAACGTGGTTCCCGGGAGCCTCAAAATTGGCCTGCCTGATGAAAACCCCGGTCGGGGCTGGGCCGTGCCCTAACTTTGGCAATGAAAGTCACCTCGCAGACCTGCCAGGACCTAGGAAAAAACCTCAGCTGGGGGGGAAACCACCCCCGGCTGGGTTTTTTTTATTCTAAATTTAAAAGTGACTTTCAAGACCTGAAAAGCAAAAGACATACACACAATATTAGAAGCAGTCAACCCACACACTCACAGTCATACGCGAGCAGACCGGGACAGACCAACTCCCACAGACAGACACGCTCTCACACACAGCAAGAGACTCTAACTTACACAGTGACCACAACCCTTATTTGGAAACCCTGTGCTGAACAAAGTTTGCCAAGATATCTTCTCACTGCTGCTGCTCAACATCGATTGGTAGATTCTCAAAAAATAGGCATTGGAGACCTGCAAGACAGCACAAGGTGGTCATTGAGGGATTTTATGGTAGCTAGGACTCAGCCGCCCTCTAGGCCCACACATTTTCTACACAAAACCTCATAGGTAGAACAGGTAGAAAATGTTAAACTTCCACTTTTCTAACTGTAAACTATGTGCCAGGGCAGGCCAGCTCTAAGCCTATACATTTACAAAGGCAAGCACAGTTCAACCAGGTGCAGGCAATGTCTGCCAGGTGAACATGGCAATGGCAGATGCAAAGGCAGCTTCCTCGACGATAAAGCCCACAATGACATTGAGAGGCTGAGATGGCCGACAACGTAAAATACATGACAATGAGGAGATGGCCTGAAACGGCCCTGCCCTGCAAAAGGCCTGGGGAGCTTGAAAAGAAACCCTCTCCCTTGACTTCAGAGGGGCCCATCCCACTGCAGCCCTGACCTCTAAACTAATTTCAAATTGCCTCCAGTGATTATAAAGGCTTTTCCTGGGCTCCCAACCTCCACCCATGACCCTTACCTTTTGTAAAATGATCTGACAAAACATGTCCTCTATAGGATGTGGACATCAAGACATCCCCCACACTGGTTTCGGTGCAGCCAGTTACGAACTTCAGCTCTGCCTTTTGTCATGGAAACTAAAAAGAAAAAGGAAAATGTAACCATGGCTCTGCCAAAGAATAATAAGTCCTTATCCACTGTAAAGAAACATTGCTGCATATAGCTGTCGACGCAGCTCAGAACAAGACCTAAAAAGACATCCAATTGGATGCTTCTAAAGAGAGATGCGATTGCGATGCGTGTCCAAGCTCCCAAATCGAACCTTCGCCGGTGTCGGCGCCAGGCCACAGAATGCATAGATGGGAGATGATTGGAATGACCCCTGGGTTTCTGATAAGCCCCTGGGAGGGCTTAGGCAAGAGACATACTACACAAGATGCACAGAAGTCACAATAGACAAGTGACAACTCACCCTGGGACTGCTCTGCCCTGCCCGCCTCAGCATTGCGAGCCAAAGTGAGGGCTTTCCCTCAATGTGGCCTAAGGGGCCATTTCTAGAACCTCCCCATCCCCAAAGCTCACTCAAAACCCCTAACCAGTGTGAATCCACACCCACCGCCTTGCTTGGATCCTCTCTGCAATCACGGCCCTTGACTTACCTGTCCAAAGCAAATCTGTGCGGGAGACCAATTTTGTGTAAGGAAAGCTACTGTGGAGGCAGTTCCCTTTTGTGTTACAATGAATCTGCTGAGAGAATCTGAAGTATTGCACTTGATGTGACCTAGAACTTCAGGAAATTACAATCCTCCTAAAAAAAAAAAAAAACAGGAAGAGTCATTATGAAAGCATCTTATTACCCCTGAACCCCCAACCCAAAAATCATGAACTTAAATACTCCCTGTGTTCAAAACTCTTTTCTTCAAGGTGTCTTTAAAACCTCTGCTGCTTCAAATGCCCAAAAGATACCTGCTAAGAGCTGGCTGACGTAAACTGAAAGGGGCTCTTCATTGAAATGAGAGACAAGCTCTTTATCCCAGCTGATTCCCCAGGAGGGAATAATGCCCCTTAGCACACCCGGGGCTTAATATAGCCCTGATTGGGCCCGCCTCTTTTTCCCATGATGCCTGGGAAAAGGGAGGCGGCAAATCCCACCGGCTATAAAAGCCCTCAGAGGCACTGTAGCTGTTTGGTTTCTCTGAGTTAAATTTGAGGTAAGGAGTTCCATGAAGAGGAAAACTTTTCAGGAAAAGACAATTTTTTATTATTTTTTTTTTTTTCTACAATTTCTCAGTGCAATGGAGCCAAGGAAAAAAAAAAGGTAAGGAGCAAAACTGTGTTTCAGCAGCATTGCCAGCTAAGTTGGATAATTTATGGACTTGCATAATTATTTTTTAGTGATTACTAAGTAGCATTCCACCTGTGATTAATTAGGGTAGAGAAGAATAATATCGATATGAATGGTGTCTTATAGGGACCTCTAATCAGGGCTCTCTACATTATAAATGAAAATAAGGAAAAGAATATACTCCCAGATGCAATTAGTATTACACACCTGCTGGGCTAGCTCCCATTGGAAATATTTGGTGCTGGGGCCTGGGTAGAAGTGCCCTGAAATGCAGCTTTAAACCCTTGAAATGCTGGAAAAGGCAATGCTTAAAATGAGGAAATGGAGCATCTATCTCCACTTAAACAGATACAGTGGTAAATAAATGGCTTCTCCCCTTTAATTTAAATCCCTCAAATATTGGGGAAAAGAGTGGTTTTCCTCACTTTAAATCTCTCTGGTGATAGGAAAGGGGGCATTTTCCCCTTAATTCAGGTCCATAAAAAAAGCAGTATCCATGTTTTTCCTTTCCACTTAAAGTGGAAAAAAAATAGGAAATGGGGATTCCCTATCAATTAATACCTCTAACAGCACAGAAAAGGCATTGTTACCTCCAGTTGAGACTATCAAAATTGCAGAGGAAGTGGATTTCTCTTCAATTCGAACACAGGTGATTGTGGAAAAGGAAGCTTTTTCCCTCAGTTTAAACCCCTTTTTTTCCTAATGACCCATCCCTTTTCTGGAGAGGGAGTGGCGAGGTAGACGGGGAAAGTTGAAAACTGCTTCCCCCCGCCCCCCAGGCCCCCACATGATTCCCCACCTGCTCAGGTGCTGCCGCTCAGCAGGACGGCTTTTCCCTCGGCTTTCTCTTAAAGTGACGCTCCCCACCCGGGTGCATCCGGCTGCTCCCCCAGACCCTGCTGGGTGCCACAACCCTCGTTCCTGGAGGAACTCCCGGGGGATGCCTGTTGGCCCCTCTAGCGGCTCCCTGCATGGGTCTGCCCGGATAACCCTGTGAAGACTGCCTCTGCCAGGAGCTGCCCCCTTCTCGTCCTCACCGGTCACACCTGGGGCTGCTGCACCTTGGAGTGGGGGTAGGGGTGGGGTGGAGAAAGGTCCTGCCAGTCATTCCCTCCCCTACATCCCCTAGTTGTCCCGTTGTCCGTCCCTGAAACACCAGGGTGCTGGGCTTTCCTTTCCACAATAAAGAACTGGCCTCCTCTTCCAGGTGCTGTGGCTGAAATTTGGATTCTGCCTCGAAAACTATACACATAGATATATTGCATAATAGATATTATAATTTATTATATTAGCATCTATCTATATAGTTTTCACACTGAATATTAATTTACTTGTCTAGATTCATATTACTTGTATTTATTTCTTTTTTATGGCTATATATATGTATCTCTCCCTATATTTATTTCTTTATTATAGATGTGTATATTTTTTTCTATATTATTCATTTAAAATCCCTGCTTCTAACCAAATAAAAAACAAAAACCCCTTCACTTAAGTATTTTTAATATCTATTTCTATCGTATTGATCTTCTAGATTTATACACATAGATATAATGCATAGCAGATATTAAAATATATTAGCATCTATCCTTATATTTTTCCTATTGAATATTAATCTAATTGTCTAGATTTGGATTACTTGTATTTATTTTTTATCTCTCTATATATATCTACCTAGCTCCCCTACATTTATTTCTTTATTATAGACTTGTATATTTTCATTTCTAGATTATTCATTTAAAAACCCTGCCTGTAATCAAATAAAAAACAAAAATCCCCTTCACCTTTAATGGTTATTTAAATACTTTTAGTGCCTATTTTTATCAAATGTATATTCATATTTATATACCATACTGAACTAGGTAGAACACACAAGGTATCCTATATTAAAAGATATTTCTATTAACAACTTTACATCTATTATTTATATTATATATTAAATATAATCCTATTTGTATCTATTTATAACACTTAAATATCTTTATATGTTTAACATATGTTTGTATACTGGACATTTGATTTTAAAGCCCTACCTCTCCCCAGATGAAAGCAAGCAAGCCTTTGCTTTAAACTAGATTGAAATAATTCTTTTCAACTTACAGTTTTTATTTATGTTCTATTTTGTGTATATATTCTTGTATTAATTCTATGGAATATAGGTCAAAGCATATTACAATAACATACATAATATTACTTACCTTTGAGATGTGTTTATTTATTGACATTATTTATATGACATATTTTCTATTTATAGGTCCTTCTATTTTTACATGTATGTATTTATATATTTCTCTTTCTCATTTTCTGCTTTTTGAAATTTGCATTTCTTTCTCTTGGAAACTCTACGCATTCATTTAGCTAACACGTCAGAATGACAAAAATATAAAGCCTTACTCTACCCCGAGTGCAGAATGCGCTAGTCTCTATGGAACTTAGACACAGAAATTTCTCTCGGTGCATTTTAATACCTCATTGATGCACCGATATGTTTTATACACTCACATTTTACAGGTAAGTAAGACATGGAAAAACAAAACCCACTTTCTTAAGCCTAAGCCATTCCTGACATAACAAAACCCTAACAACGGAGTGCACTGAGAGGGGGTTTCTTTCCAAAGGAATTTAGAGAGATCAATTCCTATTCCTTGCCAATACCTACCATAAAAACTAGAAAAACTCGAGAGGTTTTTGGATTCTGCACCCAGCCCTCCCAGGCAATTTCCTGGCAGCTCGGGCTCCTCTTTGGGGAAGGATACCCAGCACGAGCCCTCCCCATTCCCCGCTCACCTTGCTCCTCCAGCGCAGTGTGTGCCTCCCTCTCATGGGGACCTCGGCGTGCCCCAAGGGACACGGGAGCCCCCCAGTCTCCACCCCGTCCCCCTCAGCCTTTGCTCCTCACCCCCAAAGAAGGCACAAAACAACTCCAACTGCCCTGGACAGCAGCACCTTGCTTTATTGGAAGCCCTTCTAGGTCTAGACCCCCTCCCAAAAAGGAGCTCTGCTGCAACAAGAAAGGGAGGCAGGTCCTAGAAATCCCTCCCCCAAAACCCCAGGCACAGGCCAGAGGCAGAAAGAGGGAGTGGTGGCAGAGAGGACACAGGAAAAGAAAGAACAAAAGAATGGGCTGTAGGATGAAATAGAAAAACAAAAAAACCAAAAAAAGAACCCCACAAAAAAAAACTGAAAAAACCCAAAACAAACCACAAAAAAACCCCAACAAAAACCACCAAAAACCAAAACCCCCACCCAAACCCAAAACCTGGGATGGGCAGCAAGACAGAGAGGGATTGAAAAAGAACAGAGACAAGGAAGGGGACACAAGGATCCACTGGGAAACAACAGCACGGGGAGCAGTGGAGACAAACAGAATTAAAAAAGGCACGTGAGTGAGCCACGGAGAAGGACAGAGAAAAAGGCTGAGTGCAGAACACACAGCAAGGACAGAGGGCTTCTGTCCTTGATTGGACAAGAGGGAATCAAGGAGCCAGAGGGGAAAGGACCACGCCAGGGGCCAGCAAGATGGACAAGGTGCTTCTCCCTCCGGTCACTACGGCAAGCGCAGCTTCCCTGCAATTTCAAGTCTCTTCCAAGCACAACAGGTGAACAAACAGCAGCACAGAGCCACCGGTCTCCAATGCTCCGCAATCTAGAAGGAAAAAGAAAGAAAAAGGTAAAAGACCAGTTCATTCTGCCACAAAGGAGAGTTGCTTATCCCAAGACACCTTATTCCAAGCACAGAAACCATTTCTGCCACTCGAACAAACCCACTTAATGCTCTCTAGAGTTGATGGCAGCTACTTAAACCCTGTCTCAAGAATCAAAGGGACACGAGCCTTGCAATTCTCAGGAAGGACTCAGCTGAGTCGTCAAGATTTTCCCACCCAGAGAAGCCAGCAATCCCAGCTTGAAACAGCACATTTCCTTCCAACCCCATAGAAATTGCCCTGTGTTGCCAACACTGAGGCTGCTTCCACATGCAGGGAAAACAGGGCTGCTGCCAACACTGTCCTTTGGGCAGCTCGCAGGGATGTGACCTGCACTCCCCCTCAACTCCGCTCCCAGCTGGCTCAGCCCAAACTCCATGCAGCACTCAGCCAGAGCTGCAGAGAGCTGAAATTCTCCCTGGGAAAGCCAGCAAAATGTACCCCAAGCCACCTCCCCCCCACCCCTCCTGCAGCTCTGACCAAAATCAATGGACAAGTTTAGTGGCACGTGGGCCAAATCCCAACAAGTTGGCTACCTGCCCTCTCCTAAGAGTGTTTGGGTCCTTGAGTCTGTGGCTTCACCCTGAGTTATGGTTATTATTATGATTCACAACTGGGTTCGTGAGAGGCAAAATTGCACGGCATTTCTGTGAGCATTCTAGATGCACTTGTGTGTTGTGAGACATGTAAATGCATCTACTGTGGTTGTGAAAAGCCTTAGGGGGCCCTCAAATATGTCTCATTATGGACTTTTGGGTTTGGGTTCTTTTTCCCTTTGAACTGAAGATTGACGAGAGGGAGGCAGTTTTCTCTTGTTCAGTCTCAGTTGTTTATTCTTTTCTTATCAGCATTACAAGGTACAAGGAGCTATGTGCACTATGATAGAAAAGGGTAAAATGGCTAACAAAGATCCTCTTCAAGGTCTCTTATATGTCCATTTACCCATTTAACAGATGCAAACTCAATTATTTTTCTTAGTGACCCAATGACTCTGTGCTGCACTACGGTATTTTCTAT